CCTGGTTTATTTTCTTTTCATCGCTATGTATTTTTCCCTCATTTTGTTTTTCCAATTAAAAACAAAAAACCTGCACACACACTGAATGGTCATCTATTTGGCAACTTCAAATTTCAATTAATAAATCCTACATATTGGTAAACGTAATCAGAATGTCAAGTATAAACTAGATGATATTGATTTAGCAGATGACCCTCACTTTATCAAGGACCTAGATGTACTTATTTCTGATGACCTATGCTCCAAAGTTCATTGTAACAGTGTTGCTAAAAAAGCACTAAGAGTTCTAAATTTAATTTTACGAAGCTTTTTTTTCTGGATACATTGTATTGCTAATTAGAGCTTATAAAAATTATGCTAGATCAATCTTAGAGTATTGTTCAACTGTTTGGAATCCCCACCATATATCTGACATCAGTACAATCAAGCGGGTTCAGAAGTTATTTCACGAGAAAAGTTTTGCACACTTCTGTACATACTAGAATTCCCTATGCCAGGGGTCGGCAAACTTAAACACTCAAAGAGCCACTTGGACCCGTTTCTCACAGAAAAAAAACACACCGGAGCCACAAAACCTGGGTGGGCGTGGCCAACTCGATGTCACTCACTCACCCAGTCACATGACCCCCCTAGCCACACCTATCCAGCCACAAAACCATTCTGTCTCTCTCCCCCTCTTCCTATCTCCCCCTCTCTCCCCCCATGTCTCTCTCCCTCTGTATCTCTCCCTCTCTTCCCCCTCTCACCCTTCTCTATGTATCACTCTGTATGTGTCTCTATGTCTCTCTCTCTCCCCCCATCTCTCTCTCTGTGTGTCTCTCCCCCTCCCTTCGGGTAACCGACCTCCTCCTCCCCCTCCTCTTGTGATGTCCTGGATGGCTGTGGCTGAGCCAGGAGCGTGTGCATGGGCGGGGAGACCCTCCCTAAACGAGCACCAAAGCACAGCAAAGGCACCCGCGGGGTGAGTGGCTGCTCGATTAGGAGGGTCTTAACAGGATGGGACTTCTTTTCTGCACTAATGCTCTGGCCATTGCCTTGCTGTTTCATCCCCCACCCCCAGCAGCTCTTCGGCTGAGTGCGGTGGGTGCGAACTCCAGTCTGAAGTGCCAGGAAGCAAAGGTTGCTTTACGTGCAAATGTAGCGCAAAGGTAGGCACAGGGGAGCTTCTCTCCTGCACTCTCCTCCTCCTCCCACTCTCGTGATGCCCTGGCTGGCTGTGGCTGAGCCGGGGGCATGCGCACACGTGGGGAGACCCTCCTTAAGCAAGCCGCTGCCCACCCTGCGTGTACCTTTCCTGAGCTTTGGCGCTTGCTTGAGGAGGGTCTCCCTGCGCATGTACATGCTCCCAACTCAGCCACAGTCGGCCAGGGCATCACGAGTGTCGAAGCCGCATGTGGCTCATGAGCCGTGGTTTGCCGACCACTGCCCTATGCTGCTAGGCTCGAAATTCTTGGTTTGGATAACTTAGAACTGCGTTGCTTGCAGTCAGACCTAGGTATTGCATACAAAATTGTACACAGTAATGCTTTACCTGTAAATGACTTTTTCTGTTTTAATTGTAATAATACGCGCATGAACAACTGCTTTAAACTCAATGTAAATTGTTCTAAACTTGACTGTATAAAATATGATTTCTGTAATAAGAGTTGTAAAGTCTGGAATGCTCTACCTGATCCAGTTGTCTCAGCTACAAATTTTCACAGTTTCAGTCGCAAATTGACTTCCGTGGACCTTATTTCATACTTAAGTAGATTTAATCTACTTAAGTATGAAATAATGACAATGACTTCATCCCTGTCATTGTATTTTTTTCTTTTATTCTTGTTCTCGTTTTTGTTTGACAAATTATAATAAATAAATAAACATTACAGCATTCTGATATTAAAACTAGAGAAAGAATATGTTTATTTATCTACAAAAGTAAGGTGCATTTTTAAAAGGTGTTTTACAGAGCAAGGGTCCCCAACCTCTGGGCTGCCGTGAAATGTTTGCAACCAGGTTGTGGAAACTGCAGACAAGCGTGCGCATACGCATCCACACTTGCGCAAGTGATGTGCGAACATGTGCATATGCACTCCATTTGTGTGAACTGTGGGCGAGCGTGCACACTGCTTGCACAAATAGAGCTGTGCTTGCGCGCTTGCTGGCCGCTCGTGCAGAACTATCCCCTCTCTCCCCCCTCCCCTGCCAGTCTGCAAAGCTGGAAAGGTTGGGGAACTCTGCTACAGAGAATTATTTATTTATATTAAAACTGTAAACTGCCCCGATAGCCATAATGCTCTGAGTGGTTTACAGCAAATAGCTAAAATAAGTACTAACAATAATAATTTCTGTGAAATCAACACTCAGCACAGTTTACAGACTTCCTAGTAAAAGCCAATTCTGTTTGCTATTTGGAAGATAGCCTTTTATTATTAGGGGCATGAAAACCTTTTTCTGCTCTAACATTCCATACACAGAATATTCAGTTTTAAGCACAGATCTGGAACATGATCATGGAATGAAATATCCACAAAATTGGATAATATTTGTCCAGTGTCCAATCTTCTAAGATTTGCGTCCAAGAGTCCAAGTCGTGAGAGGGTGGTTGGTTCACAGTTTCAAAGGGCCCTGGATGAAGTGGATTATCTGGACCTTCACAGTCATGATAGGGCACAGAACTGAAATCATATTGATTGTATTATCAATGTCCTTTGGAGGACTCTGGACAGAGATGGACTCTCTGCATTTCTCAGCGGCTTTTGACTATGGTATCCTTCTGAATTGCCTTTGGAGGTTGGGAATAGGAGGCACTGTATTATGGTCATCATTTGTACTCCATGGCAAGCTCCAGTCAGTGTTGGTAGGAGAGGAAAGATTGAGTCCTAGGCCCCTGCAATGTGGGGGTGCCCCAGAGCTCAAGTCTTCTGCCTCTCCTTTTCAACCTCTACATGAAACCACTAGAGGAGGTAATCCATCAGTATGGGGTTTGGTTTCATCAGTGCTAATCATCTGTTACAATAGCAAGTAATATCCTTAAGTCTATGTTAGACTATTTTAAAAGGAAATTATTTTGTCGTACACTTGGATAGACTGCAATGTAACAGAGGTAGATTTTAGTCTCTGCAAAACTGAAAAACCAAATACTTGAATATAGACTATAAATGTATACAAAGACTTGGGCAAAGTTGATAGTCCACAGTTCTTTTCTCCCCAGTCAGACTTACAATAAAGCCACTGAAAAAACTGGATCAAATTTGCATTCAAATTTGGGGAAAAACAAAACAAGTTATATAGTTGCATTAAATCTCTCACAGATTAGATGAACCTATTAACATTTCCTATATTTTTAAACAAAGCCTAAGAAAAGAGTTAATTGGGCTGGATATCCTCTTTGATAATGTTATCAACCCACTATTTTCTCTCTCAGCAGTTTTTTTTTAAAGGCAGCCCTGTCACACAAAAAAAGTTGTCACTCCAGTTCTACAGAAGTAAACAATCAGGCATCAAAAGGATCAGTTGAATAATTTTGATTGATCTAATGTAGATAATATAATTACAATAAGAGTCAGTTTGGTGTCGTGATTAAGGCATCAGGCCACAAACTGAGATTGTGAATCATCTTAGGCACAAAGCCAACTGAGCCCTAGAAAGGGGGAAATGGCAGATCACTTCTAAAAAAACCTTGCCAAGAAAGCTACAAGGAGTCCAAGCAGTCTCTGTGAACGGGACACAACTGAATGGAAGAAAAAAAATGCATTTTTTAAAAAGATTAGGAACAGTCTGAAAGTTTACAGACAACCATGAGTATGTTTGAGAACGGGCAAAGAAAATTTAAAAGCTTGATTTATCAACTTCAGTGCATTGCTCACGTGAAAGATCACTTTCTGTCCTAAGAAGGTCAACATAATTTCAATCCTGATATTTTCAGACATTATTATAGCCTTTGGGGTTGGCAGATTTAGAATGATTTTACTGATTCAGATTATTTTTATGTTTGTTATTGTTCAAATTTATTTATTTACTTTACTCTTCCTGTATGAAATAGGTTTAGTATCTTCCTCTATAATTTTTTAGCAGCACATATTTCTCTTATTAGAGCCAAGAAACCAAACATCAGAAATATTTGCCCTTTCAGAGAGAAGAGAACATGAATCCATGTCATTACTGTCATGCTGTGTTGAGAAAACAGAATTTTTCCAGAAGGGACTTTTTTTTAAACCTGTATGCAGCATTTAAAATGACAATTACAAGGCCAATATGCATTAATTGGCTTCCATTTAAAGAAGACAGCAAGCTTCCTCTCTGAAGATAATAAATACAGCAACATTTCCATCACCAGCATTTTGAGAATTAGTAAAAAAGGTAGAGGGCTTTAAGAATAACCTGTCATTTCAGGCCCTGATTCTAAATAATTAATTTACACAAAAAATACTACATTAAAATACAATTAAACCAACCAAAGGCAGCATATGCAGACCTGAAAACAAGTTTTCACACTTGACTAGACTATCAAATGCATTTCCTGACATGTATACTGAATTTCATTTTCTTCTCTATTGTTTCTCATTATTTTCTTTGGCACTTTCACTGATCAAAGAGGTTTGCTGAAAATGGTGTTGTCTTATTTTTCCTGCTGGGACTTTGCAGGTACTCTTTATACTATAATCTAATTCCATAAACAAAGGATTAGCTCATCAATGCTGGATTAAGCAAATAGGAAGCAGCAAGGAAGGAGAATACCATTATTCAATCACACATTAAAGTACATTAAAAAAACCCATAGAACTAAACACTCCTTGTTTAAATTTTTACTTTTTAAACTAGATTCACCAGAAATGTCCTTCTTTATTGTGATTCAAAGGATGAATGCTTATAGAATAACAATGAAACCTCTTTCACAAGATTTTAATTCTTAATTTTGATCTTGGCCTAAGTACAATACAATACAAAAGCTTCTATTTTATTTATTATTTATATGTTTTCTGATCTAGGCATTGAGATATTTAAATGAAACTCACTTGCAAGAAACTTTTGTTCTGTCAGCCACCATGGTCCACTGTTGCTGATTTGTAGAAACTTCAATGTAATAACTGTAGCTCCTATCATCACAATCCCAGAGGAGTAACCTGAAAGGCAGATAAATAATTCAAATGTCACCTCTATATGGAATTTTGTATTAGTAATTGAGTTTTTAAATTAATTGCAGAATATTTGTCATAAATAACATGTATTATTTAGCTTTAAATTTTCAAGAGCAAAAATTTAAATATACAGGTAAGCCTTTCAAATACAAGTAGTCCTCAATTTACGACCACAATTAAGCCCAACTGTTATGTTGTTAAGTGAGACATTTGTTAAGTGAGTTTTTCCCCATTTTACAACTTTTCTTGCCACAATTGTTAAGTGAATCATTGCAGTTGTTAAATTGGAAATATAGTTCTTAAGTGAATCTGGCTTCCCCATTGATTTTGCTTGTCAGAAGGTCGCAAAAGGTGATCAAGTGACTCTGGGTCACTGCAACCGTCATAAATATGAACCAGTTGTCAAGCATCCAAATGTATAGCATGTGACCATGGGGATGCTGAAACGGTCATTAGTGTAGAAAATGGTCATAGGTCACTTCTTTCAGTGCTGTTATATGGTCACTAAATGAACTGTTGTAAGTTGAGGACTACCTGTAGTAGGGATATGTTTTTGATAATTTGGGTTTCTAAAATTATTCCACTTCAGATTTCCTAGCTCACAGTAATTCTGAAAAAAATCTTTCAACTACTGTGCACTGAATTTATCAATTTGTTTTGTATATATGTGGATTAATAAGAGGTGCTTTAAAATGAAGCCGGCTTGTTTCTTGGCAGCATTTTTATGAACATGGCCCTGAGATCTTCTCAGAATTCCAAATACTGTTATGTTCCCAGTCCCCAAAGGTAAATAATTTGATAATTTTCTTCTAGGAAAGAAAGAGTGGCTAACAGATTGATTGTGATGCATGAGTTTTGTGACTACTGGAATATATATATGTTTCTCTAGATCTTGGAAATATAAATAGCAATAGATGAATTTTAAAGCTATCAGCATTATTAACCATAGTATCTTTCATAATTTATTCATTAGACTGCTAGAACATCTTTCCCTCATCTTCTGGAATTTCCTATTTTTTAAGTTTAGAGCACAATGATTGCTTGAATAAACAGACACCTGAAGTTTAATGAACATATATCAATTAAAACCTATGAAAAAAGTTGTTGTTTGCACTGGCGGATAACAATCTTTTTAGACTATTTATATTTTATATGATGAATCACCTCCTCCCCATTAGAGTCTCCATGTTTGTTTTCAACTGCTGAAAAAAGTATTGCTTCTACAAAATCATTTCATTCTTCACTACTAGCTATTTAAATGCTTTGTTTTAATGCTGAAGGATTGTTGTAAAAGTTGGTGCATTATTTTTTTTTAAGGAAAGAAACTTATTTGTTTGAAAGAAAATAACCACTGATTTCGAACTGGGCTTATTTTATAAAAATATTAAATGTGATATAAAAATAAGAAAAAGCTTCATTCTTCAGAACTGTAAATCTTTTAATATTGATTAGGTTGATATACTGGGCAAACAAGATTTCCAAAATCTACTGTAGAACCCTCTATATAAACCTGGGGTGTTATTAATAAATAATTTTAAGAGCCAAAATAAAAGAACTCTGAAAAAAGAGACTTTTAGTTCTCATTAATGCTGAGTTTCTGCAAATTAAAAATTCAGAGCTGATTCCATTAAAACTCCCCAAAGCAGTATTCCACATTTGGTTAGAATAAACATCCAGCTATCTAAAGTTCTGCTTTCTCGCTCACTGGCTTTTTGTTTAGCACAAATGTCTTTTGATTGCTCTAAGCAAAACTGTAGCTAACTTGCTTATTAAAAAATCTGTCAATTTAAGGACAGAATCTCGAATGTGTGTTGAGCTTATAAACATAGCTGTAAATCAATGCAGAAGTTTTAATTATGGGATAAATCTTTTGAAGAATTACAAGTACTGAAACAAAAACATGTAAAAAAGGAAATAATCTAATTAGATTTTCCAATGAAATCATTTTTTATAACTGGCGACTCTGCAGTTTCCTTGATTCAAATTGTCAGAGTAACAGGTATTATACAAAAAAAAAAAATCAATTATTTTGAACTAAACATCGGTAGATAATACCATTTTGCTGCTTAATACCTTAACTAAAAACCAACTTAGCAGGGGACAGTCTCAGAACAAGAAGATTAGGCATATATGGAACATTGATGTAAAGAGCAGAATGGTTGATCATGATAGAATATTTATCCAGTGTTAACAAAATGATAGATAATGTATGCAGTGCTTTAAGCTATTTTTAGTTTCTTGTAAGTATGCCAATTGGGTAAGACTATAAATATTCAGTCAGGTAAAAAATGCAATTTATTCCAAAATGTCATGATGAGTATAAAGTGTCTTGTAACAGGTTAAAACTTACTGATTTATTATAGCTTAAATTTTTGTGAAGAAGAAGTAGAAGAAATGTTTTCCTTGTTGGCAGGTGTGTATATGCATGGGTTAAGCTCAGAGAGCAATAAAAGACGCCACACATGGTTAACAATGAGTAATTTGTAAAACATAAATAGATAAAATGAATAAAATAGAATGCAAAACCTAAACTCAGGCACAATTCAATTAAATGTTAAATAGAGGCTGAATAAATATATTAACTTTTCACAAGCTCAAAAATTAAACGAACACCTGCATCTTTCAAAGGAATGTTGTGGTACATTAAACTATTTTCTACAAATTTCTGAATGATGTTATTCCTTCATTAAGATCAATGTGCATAATACTATCTATTTATTATGTTCAGCATCAAACATTTGTTTTGATGGAAAGATGGAACATACAGCTAATAAATGAAAAGGGTATAAACAGCTTTTGCCATGCTAAATATTTTAGAACTTCAGATTCTCTTTGTATAGCTTTTTTTTTTCTTTCTTGCAAAATAAACTATCATGGCTATTCATCTGATGCTTTACATTTAAAAAATGTTATTTCATTAAGAAGCAAAAACACTACATAATTCCACCATCTTTGATAGCTCACAATTTAACATGCATTATTTGCCCTTTCAATCTATCACTATAGGTAACTGTATATTCTCCAATATACACTGTTGTATCCAGTGGCTAAATTTCTTAAAACTTCAAAGGAAAGCAATCTACAGTAATAAAGAGCTTGAAAAAGCAAACTTATAATGTGACTGATAGGCTAAGGTCAAAAGAAAATAAAAGGGGGCAGAAGGATGTATTTCCACATATATTCGGAAATGGTACAATGTACTGGTTTTTGTTATCAGCTTTTGTTATCAGCACAGCTCACTTTCATCAATATCTAGAATATTAAACATTTGCATTCGTAACAGCAACCTTGTTTACATTTTATTAATTAAAATAAATAACAATGACTCTAATAAAAATGGGATAACATCCACTCACATTTTAGAAAGCCTCTCTGAGCCTATTCCTTTAAGGGAAAACATGTACACCTGTTAAAAAAAGTCAAGCACAAGAGCTATACCTTAAAAATGAGAGTAGTCATAAAATTAATTTTCCTTGGTTAATAATCCCAGTTCTATACTATGGCTTATTGAGCATAATATTTCTATCCCATCCTAAAATATATGTGTGATTGACCAAGAGTGTGTTTGTGCAAGACTGTTTGTATTATTGATATTTTTCATCAGTGAAATTTGGCAATTCTAATTTCTAATTTCTAATATTCTGCTAGACTCAATTTACCTTCTGATTGCATTTTAAAATGTTACACATGTCAGAGGTCCTGCTTTTAAATGTTTGCTTTTGGACCAGTAGTCTTGCAGGTTTGTCTGTTTCTTTATTTCTGTTGAATGTTTTCTAATTATTCTGAAGAGGCAAGTTGAGATGCTGAGAAAATACCCTACAATAATGTTTCTTGAATACTTAAGCACATAAATCTTTTCAATAATTTTGCTTTAAGATAAATTATATACTTTCAAAACTGCATTTTCTTGCCTTTGTGAATAATGATAAAAATCCCTAGGGTTCTTTGTATCAAAGATAAAAATGCAACATTTTAATCTCCCACTGAAATTCTTTCTGAAATTGTATGTGCTAATTGTGCTTTAGTAAAGTGTGTCAGACTTCACACCAGGCCCAGCAATAAATCTTGATTCTCCAGATGTTTTATTTTGCAATCAGGTCATTGCTTATAGCAGTGGTTCCCAAGCATGACAATGCTAGGTGAGTTATTTTATTGCAGACAGGACACAAACCATATATGTGCAGAAATCAAGTTTTATATATGTTCCCTCCAGAATTTGAATTCAAGGTTTATTTTCTTCTTGCTTTTACCAGTGTGTGAAATTAGATCTTGAGATTAGGAGATGAGCTTCTTAGTCTTTATAGAAAAATTCTGTCTAGCTGGAAGATCACTAGTCCATGCTTTATTAACTTCATACTTTATGCCACCAGAGGTTGTTTCCTCCCCTTTCCTTTCATCAGATGCTTCTATCTGATCATGGATAGATGGACAGCATATTGCTCTTTTGGTTTCTTCTTCTTTGGCTGAAGCTAATGAACTCTCTTTCCTTTCTGGGCATTTTGCCTCTCTCTCTGTCTGAAGAGATAAAGTCAGCAGAAATGGAGGGATATTTCTTCTGTTGTATTTCTTTGTCATGGTTTTCTCTTCCATTCTAGGAGTCTCCATCTCACTGATACTGTCTCTCTCTTGGTAGTTGTTCAAATGTCTCCTCCTTCAATGTCCTCTTCCCAGTCAATGACAGAAATGTTGGCAGGAGATGAATTCTGAGTGTTCAGTCCACCAGGTGATATAGGCTTCTGAGAGCACTGAAAATGGAACTGCCAAAATAGAGAAGAGGAATGTACATCATCTGCTATTTCCCATGAATATTCTGTACCTGGGTACCCTTTCTGATGAATCAGATATTCCAATTTGCCTTTCCTGTACTGACAATCTGAAATATACTCCACTTCAAACTGTTTCTCTCCTTCAATTTGGGAGGAAATGGTGGAGCAGAATTGCATAAGGAGGTATATTAGGAAGGAGCAGTAGAAAATGGAATTTGCTTTCAGTGTGGCTGGAAGCTATAGATAAAATGCTACAGGGCTGATTTGTGTTCAATAAAGTTCGCTTCCAGATTTGTAGGCAGTTTTGAAGGGAAGAACTCTGATAGAAAGCCATATGTGGCCTCTAGCAGCAGTAGGAATGAGGAGTTTTCTAGTAATAATGGTCAGTACAGCAAATGTAGAAGTCTTTGTCATGATCCAGCTGTTTCAGAAAAATGTAAATTAAATTAAGAAAAGAACTGTCCCCAATCCAAATTCCTGAGATCAGTTCAGACCTTGATAGTATATTCCATTCTTTGGAAAATATCTCTGTTTATAGATTTGTTGGTACAATCAACAATCCATTGTTTTCTCAGTGATTATGAATCATCCAGGCTTTGAGGCTGTAAAACAGTCCCAATCCACAATATTTCCACGATCATGTTTTACAACTAGGTTAAGACTGTTTTATTAGAATACAGTATTTTGTTTTCAGCAAATATGTTATTTATCATTAATGCATAAATGATATTACTGCCAAGTGAAAAGGTTGATCTTGTGCAGTAAGAAAAGCAGATCTGGCACCATTTCCAGGAGCTGAGAGACACAGCAAATCTGGGATCACTGAAGGTCAATGTGGCCAGCACAATGACCACTGTTACAAAAAAAAAAAAAAAAAGGTGTAGCAAATCATCTGAAGGATGCCATCTTTATGAATATATTTTCAGTGTCAAGCATTTTGAAATATAAACATTATTTTGTCCTTCATTTATGTAAGTGCCTCTCGTATCTTCACCATTCTAATATCAAACTATAAGAAACTAAAAACAAAGAAAGCATTTTATTTTTCCTTGCATTTTATTTTATCATAAGGATTTTTTTCTTTATGCCTCTCTATCACAAATATACTATGGTGAAACCATTTTGTTTTTTAAAGGATTATAATGACTTAAACATAGAGAAAAATCCTAAATTCTTTTTTAGAGTTGAATATTTTGCAGTAGTCTCCAAACCTTTATCACATATCTTTAATAAACTTTCCCTTTTCCTTCTCAAAGACCTCTAAGCAATGCACATATTTGTCTTTGGTCTTATCCCACAAATAGTATTATCCTCCTCCAACCTGCCCCATATCAAAACTAAAAAAGAAAAAAAAATACAATTAGAAGGGAGGTAGCAGTTGGTCAGAAATTATATACTGAGCTTCATGGATACCCAGGAAATTTATTCTACGGTTTTTTTCTCATTTAACACATTAACATTTCATTTTGTTCACACTGACTCATAGATAAATTTGAGGAGATAAATAAAAATTTCATCAGCTCAAGGCTATGCAGATGTAAAAATCACACAGCAATATAAAATAAAACAAATTGGAGGCATTCTGATTCTGATGCTATTCTCAGCACAAAATAAATTGGCTGCCCTCAAGTTATGTCACTATTTTCATATCAAATGTGTCTATATGCATATACAGACTGGTTTGCTCTCCAACTTAGGTTTAAGAACACTATCAGTGCATGAAAATATGAACTTTTCACAGCAGCTATCAGGAGGCATGCATTACTGAACTATTTTAACATGAAAAAAGAAATCTTCTTACTGAATTGATCCAATCATGTATGGCTGTGCCAGCTGTACAACAATAGCACCACTGCCTAGCTGATGGCATGTATACCCGGAATCCCAGTCATAATTCTTTGTGTCTCCATTCAACAAAGCATTGCGGCTACGGCTCACGCCCTCAATCACGCTGGCGCAATCTGCAACTGTTGCAACATTCTCAGTGGGAACTGAAAATTAAAATACAAAAGAAATCAAAGGAAGGCACAGGCAACTCAGTTCCATCAGTTTCTCTATCTGGGGAAGAATAAAAATAAGCAAAAATGTTGCTAACACACAGGAAAACATGGATACATTTCAGAGGCAAGATTAAAAATGAATGAGCAATGAGTGAATTGTATCAGTGAAGGCCAGAAATCTTTTAACTTCAAACTAGTTATACAACAAAACATTCAGCAAACAAACATTTAGACATATTGTAACAATTACTGTGATTAACAAACTTGAATTATGCATTTAAAATCCTTAATCAAAAATTGTTTCGAAGAAGTAGATGAGGCTAAATAGGCTGTCAAGGAGAGAACTAAAGAGACCAATAACCATCACACCAGCCAGGTAATAGACACAGCCCGAATGTAAGTGTGGTTGTTAAGCAGTCCTTCTTCTGTTACTTTCTAAGCATCTGAAGTATCATTAGAATAGAATAGAATAGAATAGAATAGAATAGAATAGAATAGAATAGAATAGAATAGAATTCTTTATTGGCCAAGTGTGATTGGACACACAAGGAATTTTTCTTAGTACATACGTTCTCAGTGTACATAAAAAAAAGATACATTCGTCAAGAATCATAAGATACAACACTTAATGATAGTCATAGGGAACAAATAAGCTATCAAATCATATTAAGAAACAGTCAATATAAATCATAAGGATACCAGCAACAAGATTACAGTCATGCAGTCATAAATGGGAGGAGATGGATGATAGGAACGATGAGAAGATTAATAGTAGTGCAGACTTAGTAAATAGTTTGATAGTGTTGAAGGAATTATTTGTTTAGAAAAGTGATGGCATTTGGGAAAAAAACTGTCCTTGTGTCTAGTTGTTCTCGTGCGCAGTGCTCTATAGCGTCGTTTTGAGGGTAGGAGTTGAAACAATTTATGTCCAGGATGCGAGGGGTCTGTAAATATTTTCACAGCCCTCTTTTTGACTAGTGCGGTATACAGGTCCTCAATGGAAGGCAGGTTGGTAGTAATTGTTTTTTCTGCAGTTCTAATTCTAATGCAGTTACACATACATCCTATTTGTGCAGTTTTTAGAAACAAAATTCAAGATCAGAAGATGTAGCATAATTAATCATCTATTAACTCATTTTTCTCACATTTTCAACTGATGTTATATACCTGAAGATTTTTTTTTTATTTTTATTATCCTCTCTTTTTTTGCATATATAAGACAGGGTGAGGAACGTATCAATATTTTCTCCTATTTTGTTCACAACAGCAACCCTGTGAGGTCAGTTGATGGAGAGAGATTGACTGGGGAATGCCTAAGGTGGCCTAGCATCAGTCTCCTGGGCTCTAGACTGGGACCTTAACCATTACTCCAAACAGCTTTTACCTTAAGAGGATTTCACTCATAAATGAATTTAATCAATCAAACTTGATGAGGGGTGTTTTGATTCTAAAGTGTTCCTAAAACTTGCTTTTGTTGTTTAATTAGTCTCTTGTCTATATGAAAACAAACTATATTTATTAAAAATGTTATTTTGGACTATTTATGAGTAATATTGTCCACGATGTTTCTTAATACATGGCCAGGAAAAACTTGCTGCGCTATTTTATACAATAGGATATTAGAGATTAATCAAATAATTTCAGCACACAGAAGGTATCTTGCTGTTTCAGTTCCCAAGAGAGGATTGCCACTCCCCATTTTGAATGTTCATTATTGTCTTTCATATCCATCTGATAAATGTATTAAAAACACCATCTGGAAGGGATGTCATTCCGTGAAGCATTTCAGGGTTTTTGGTTCCCTTGGCTTTTCCCTATGGTATTTCTGTCTCAATCTGTGTCACTTTGTTTATAAAAATGCACTACCAGAAACAACACTGTCTTGCTTCTAAGAGGGTTTTTTTTGTCCTTCAACTAAATATTATATGTAACAGGTTATAAGATGGAAAACAGAATATGAATTATATCTTATTATATATTGTTTTTGCAGAACATACTTCTTCACAAATTGAATGTACCATTAGAATGGAAAACAATCCATATTAATGTAAATGCACCATAGAAGGAAACAAAATGTTTATTTTAATGTTTTTAAAATTGTTTTATAATTTTAGAATTATAAGTTGCCCAGAGTCACTTGGTTGAGTTGGGCGGTTATAGAAATTGAATAAATAAATAAATAAAAATTTCAAAATAATAAAAATAGGTAGATAAATTTCATATTATTCTTTCTGGCCCGTATCAGGCAACAGGTGGCCAAGAGACTGAATATATTATGACACAGTAACATTTAAAAATAATGTTATTTCCAAGACAAGACTTTAAAATTATGTGTGTGTGTGTGTATAAAATTATATATATACGCACACACATATATACACACACATATATGTATGTATGTGTGTATATATATATATATATTATAAATAAAATATAAATATGTATATAATATATATACACACACAAACACACATACATATATATAAGTATACATAAATATATATCTTCAGTAATACCTAATGAGAAATGAGCAAAAGGGAAAAAAAATCAGACATATATTTTTAGTTATTTTCTAATTTGACAATCGTTTTTTTTTAAAAGTCAAAATATTATTTACTGAAATTTTTTGCAATAATTGGATTTTATTTGACTAAAATTTCTTATATTTATTTCAATACAGTAAGAAAATACTAATGAAAGGACACTTTTTAGACAATGGCTGAACTATAAATTCCATAAACTATCGAATGTTCTGTGCACATTCTGAACCTTCTTTTATGCTTTACATGTGAACAGAAAAGCACAGGGTTTCCCCACAATGTCTGACAATTTTATGATGATAAAAGTCTAAGCTGTTACCCTCAATATCTATTTTAGGTTTATTTCTGTATATGAGAAAGCAATTGACATTCTTGTTATATAATTAAAAACTAAAAATAATTACTGTATTAACCTTTAGCACATTCTTTTATATGGAATTGGCAGAAATCAGAAATTGAAGAAATATTGATAACTGCTAAATCAGAGGCAATTCAATACTACTGGTTGTAATTGGATAGAAGAATAAATGGAAAAAAGTAGAGATAATCACTCTTAAGAACTGACAGAGGAAGACCACTAATCACCCTGAGATAATGAAATTGTTACAATGGAGAACACATCATTATTAAATTGATACAGCATTCTAACATGAGCTAACATGGGATTGACTATCTAATACAAGATAATGGAAAAGAAAGCTGATATGGCACAGCAATTCAGACTGCTGCTTAAAGCTTCCCTCTTCTGAGCTCAATTTAGTTGTTAAATAGAAGTGGAGGATTCTAGAAGCATAGGAAAAAATGATTTGGTAAATGCAACAATATAGGAGATAGGTTAACTGAATTTTACTAAGATGGTTTTATTGCCAATAATACATACTTCATGCAACATCAACGCAGATTCTACACATGAAATCAATATGACTGGAATCAAATAGATTGCATAATTCAAAATAAAAGGAAAAGTGCAATCCAGTTACTATTTTCAGATGCATGAAGAGATCTTAGGCTCTTAGGGTTAAATACACGGATTAAAGTTTAAAGAGAGTAGGTGTAGTAATAAAGTACAGGTAGTCTTTGACTTACAACAGTTCATGAAAACTGATCTAGGAAAATAAAACCCTAAACCTAATTCAGATACAAAAAGATTTGACTGGCTTTCAAAACAGTTTACTATGATAGCATATGCATGAACACACATGCACATGCACATACACAAAGAGAAGATGAATATGCTGAGAAACAAAAAGCATATTTTGCCACTGAATCAAGACTTCCAGTTTTAAGCAAGAAGGATATGGAAAGCTATCTCAAGCAAGGATGTCAACCATTAAAGAAAAATAACAATAAAATTAAAAAATATTTTTTTAAAAAAAGATTAGAGCAGGGGTTCCCAACCGGAGGTGCGAGATGATATTACAGGGTATGCGTGTGAAAACTTGGGTTTAGAAGTTTCAAAATTATAGTGTATAAGCATAATTATATGCATATAATTATTGACTTTTGTAAGGGGTGCGAGAATATATCAGAAGCGTTCTAGGAGTACGAGGTATAGAAAAGGTTGGGAACCCCTGGATTAGAAGAATTATGGAAAAATTTACAGCTAAGGCAGGGATACTCAAGAATAATTATAGAAGGAAACAGTGGCAAATGAACGTAAAGACAGAAGGAAAGACTACATCAGTGGTGGGTTGACCCCAGTTCAGACCGGTTCTATAGAACCGGTAGTAAAACCGGCAGGAGGCTCCGTCCACTGACCCTGACCTCATCTGAAGTGATATGTGCAAAAGCAAGGCATGCACACGAGTGAAGCGAGCGCGCACAAGCCCGTTGCAAACTGGTAGTAAAGGTAAGTAGAACCCACCCCTGGACTACATGTAATCCCTTTACAAAAAGGATTATACATTTAGAGAAACACTGAAGAGTAGAAGTACAAGAGGTAATAAATCAGCAAATAAATCAAATGTGAAAGTATCAGACACAGATGAAGCATCCACCATTAAAAGTTGTAGGAGATGCTATTCAAGTATTATCAGCTCTTTGATAGCAAACTTGGAAGAAGACTGTGTAATCCAGAATTTGGAAAAGATTAGTGTATAACTATCTGAATGCAACAGTATGTGTCAGTAACAAACTCACTCCATCAATCTCTTATGTAAGAAAAAAAATGCAACCATGGACTGGAAAGACCTTTAAAAGGAAAAAAGAGAACTGAATGGCAACAGCTTCATATAGAGAAGACATTAAATTGCTCAAAGAATGCCTCACTAAGTGAAAGATAGAGCAATATTTTACAACACCAAGGTAATGCTACTAAGAAATTGATTTGACTTTTTCCTTCTGTTGGACATTTAAATGATTTCTATAAAAACCACTCCTGAGCAAGGGAGAAATGAGCATTTATTCACTTTGTCCTTTTCCACATTTTAAACCATTTCTCCCAGGCACAAAAAGATACGCAAATGAAGCCTTAGTGATTCATAAGTGCTAGACAACTTTCTCTAGAGGATGTTCAAGGACATTCCATTTTTTATAGCCACTGTTTGGTCTGCAACCATTATTCACTCTTCTGTCTCTCAGAGTACTATGGAACTAACATAAAAAGAGGTTATAATTAGGGCACCTGAAAAGATAAGAGATTTTCAGTTGTGCCTGTAACCATATAACCTAAACTTTGCCTTCCAAAAATAGCTAACAAATGATAAATGGTATTTTTAACACTGTATCAAACTTTTTATGTGGTAAAGAGTTATTCAATTGTTTAAAGTTAACAAGTTCCTATTTTTTTCCCTAAAGCAAACTGAGTGTGCAGAGTTTAAACAAAACAGAATGAAATTATTTGCCAATTTGTGGAAAAGTTTCTAACCAGTATCTGTAGGCCACACATTTTATTGTGCTATGACCACAGGAAACCACCACAACAGAGATTTCCAGAATTTTGAAAGTAAACATTGCTATATAGAGTACAGAAAGAGTAAAAAAAAGTATAAGCCAAATAAAATATGTATATATGTTTTTTAAGATGAGGACTCATTTACACCAACATCATACACTACAGTATTCCTCTCCATAGCTTTTTTTATTGTAAAACATCCTTGCTCGTATTATATACATTTATAGTTTTCTTTACATTGCTACATATATTATATGCACGGAACCCTTCTCCTTTCTTGCAGGTTTCTGCAGTGCTTTGAATAAAATTCTCCAAAGATACTTCACCACATTCAGGATGTGAATATAACACGTGTCTGCAACTGTTCTTTTTTTGGGGGGGGGGGGCGGGGAATGCGTAGCTTCCTTCAAAAGTGTAGTTTTGGATCTAAGATGAAGCACTGCTTAGTATTATTTCTTTGTCTTTCTTGCCATTGGTCTTATACAAGAAACTGTATTGTTATATTGTTATACAATATAACTATTGTTGAGGGTTGTTGTTTTTTTTATCAAAAATTTTATCTCTGCTGTAGTCTGGAATCTAAACCCAATTTCCGTGCCCAGATTCCTTTGCTTTTCTTATTTGTTCAATTTGTCTTCTGAAATGGAGAGATGTAACATATTCCTTTTTCCTCCTCACCTTTTATTTTGTATTCTGTTTTCATCAGCAACGCCTAGTCTACCTAGCTATTCAGTTCAGATATTTTCCAAGCACTTCTTCATGCCTATGTATCTGGTAAATGTTGTTATTCTTCAGCATATCATAGATATTCAGAATACAAAACATAAATATATTAAGAAAGTAATTTTCTTTTCTGGATAAAATAATGTTTTTCTATACCTTTCATTATCTTTGTATACAAAAAAATAAACCTGTACATTTTTTGAACTTTAGATCTTTTCTGAGCAAATAATCTCATTCATTTGTTCTTTTAAGCAATTTACATAGCTGTCCATCTCACAGCAGTCAGTTTGGATGGTATATAAAATGCTACAACCACAATCAAATCATAATACACCAGATAGTAGAATATCAACAACAACAATAAACAGACCCGTGGCGATTCTATATTCTATATAAATGGCAATAGAAATTCTGAAAATGGAAAACCAAACAAAAAGGAAACAATCCAGTTTGGAAAGATCGATGGGAAACTCAATATGCCTATAACAATAATGCTGGATGAAGATGAATGTAGCAAAAATCTAATGGAAGACCTAATAATAATAGCAGAAAGGGTTAAAATCAAATGAAAGGGATTAAAAACTGGGTATCTCTTGGAAATAATTGATTGCATGGCTTTAGGCTCAAAAATCTAACTAGTTACATCCAATGATAGCTAACAGCTTAATGAAGAACTGCATAAAGCAGATACCAGCAGTTGGTTAATAATTGACAAAATGTATCTAGTTTTAAAAAACTAGCAAAGGGACAACACTAGGAAACTATAGGCCATAACATGCTTATATACAATGTTTAAATATGTTCTTGTTTCAAAACATTTTGCTGCTTATCCAAGTAGCTTCTTCAGAGCAAACTAGCAGGGGGACCCCATATATATTCCTTCCACTCCTTCAGAGTGGTTTCATTTCTTACCTAATCTGAATAGTCTTCTTAGGTAAGTAGGCAGAGAGTTGTTGGGATGTAAATGTTCCAACTCCTAAATTTAGGACAGGGAAGATAGACAGTTTAAGAGAGGAGTGAAGGAATCCATTTATGCCAAAGTGGAAAATCCTTCCCTCAATAGAGGTAGAGGCCATGGTCCCCCCTTGTTTATGCTGTTCTTTCATCAGTCTTCAGGAAGATTAAGACCATTTCACAGGTTCACCATGGAGGCCATACTTAACAACCCACTTACAGGAAAGGATTTAGGATTTGGAACATTTACATTCCAACAACTCTCTGCCTACTCACCTAACAAGCCTATTCATTAGGTGAGAAATGAAACCACCCTGAAGGACATATGTGGAATCCCCCAAACCAACTTGTTCAGACTGAAGAAGTTATTTGGATAAGCAGCAAAACATTTTGAATCAACAGAAAAATAAGTCCAGTTGCCACGACTCAATTTCCAGACAATTCTCGCTGGATGACTGAGAATCTTCATTGACAAGGTTTAAATACTCACAGGCATTATAGCAGACAACATCCAAGATTAGTTAGAAGAAAATAACATCCTTCCAGTACAATAAAAGGAAAAGCATCAGTACAAAAGAAACTTTTGATTGATAAAATGGTTCTGGAAAATTGCAAAAGTTGAAGAACCATTTTACGTAAGATGGCTTGATTATAAAAATATTAGTTTTGCCAGTGCTGCACATTCTTCCAGGCTTTTGCATTGGCAAAATCTCTCTTTTTCGGTTTTATGCCAAATGTTCATTGCAATTGCAAACCAGTTACTGGTTAACAATTGATCTCTATGAACAGCCCTTTGAACAGCCCTTTGAATTCAGGCAAGATTTGCTATCTAACGTGATACCATTAAGGAGTACTCCATAGCAGTACTCAAAATATGTCAGAAGATGACAAAGCAGTTTTAAAACCATGTAGACCAGGGATCCCCAATCCCCGGGCCACAGACCAATAGGAACTTGGCCGGGCAAGCTAGCAAAGCTTCATCTGCCCATGTGCAATATCTAGGTAACATGTGAAATCACGCCTCCCAGTCCATGGGGAAAAAAATTCCTGTCCCTGGTGCCCAAAAGATTGGGAGCCGCTGATCTAGACCATTATTATAGTGTTTTATATTAGGTTTATTGTACTATTTGTACTAGATAAGATTTAATTTGTCATATTTTAGGTCTATTCATTGCTTTTATCTGTTCTGTTAGATTTTTAAAAGGTTTTTTAAAATATTTTTTTTAGCTTAAGTAATTTCATTTTTGTATTTTATATGTTTTTAAATTCCTTATACTTCACCCTTCTTATGCTGGTCTTTGACTATAGTAAAAGTCAAAGACCACCATAAGGATGGTGAGTTACAAGGAATAATAAAGGTTAATTTGATTTGGGTACATTTTTTAAACAATTGATAAAGTGCATCATTGGTAATATAATTCCCATTCATATCACTTACCTATTAGTCCTCTGTCAAGAGTGAAGGTTTTGTTGGTGAACATGCATTCAAAAGCCACAATATGGAAAACTTTGTTTACTGTGTTGTGTGTTCCAACTATTCTGATATACCTGTAAGTAAAAACAAAACAAAACAAAACAAAAATCAACAGAATGAAATATGCAACATAGCGCTGATCTTTACTAATGCTGCAAGGATCAGTTTATTTCTGTACTGAGAGACTGAAGTGCCAAGAGAATGAAAAAAAAAACAGGCTTGTAGTAAGTGCATAAATAAATATTCCAGCTATATGAGAAATATCTCCTCCTTTCCAACCCACACCCCTATCCCATCTAGTAAGGAGGATAATATCAGCACTTGGCAAAAACCATTTTTTTGTACTGTTCCAGCAACAGCAACACAACAAACATTTTAGGGAAAACCTTAATAAAAATGAATCAAAACTTACAATATTAAAGAAAGAAAACAATTACATAATATTAGAGAAGCAAAGTTCTTGCTCTATTTAGTGTATAAAGAATATTTATAACTAAATGATTTATTTAAAACAAACAGAGCCACTTCACCCTGAAGATTTTTACCTACTTTCAAATATTTGTCGTATCTCTTGCAAATTGTTACTGGAGTTTTCAAGCTGAGTAACTGCTTTTTATGAATAAAATGCTATGCTTTTCAGCTCAGCCTATTGTTCTACAATATCAAAATTCTGATTTTGATATTTGATATTTTATCTGCATAAAATGAACATTCTACAACTTTGTATATTGCAGAATGACCTTTTAAAAAGTGAAAAGGTTGGTTTGATTTTCTTTTTCTTCTAAATGCAGAAGATTGGGCAAAACAATTAGATTGTCTATTATCAATCAGATGGGGGAGGCTTATTTTCTCTGACTTCTTGATTTCAGGCCTCTGATGAATCAAACGTAAGCCAGTGCAGGTCAATAATTTAGATTTTTTAAAAAAACTCTAGTTACCAATGAGGCAAGCAAATCAAAAAATAAAGGAGACTGCTGCTTACCCCAGGAATGAGGTAAAACTATAATTCAGTATATCATCACACCAATCAGTACGAGGAAAAGAAACTAACTCTATATGATATGCAATATTGGATTATTGATAATATTCTTTAAATACTATTTAAATTTGTAAAGGATTGAAGAGCAGAATATTCTAGAATTTCATTTAAAAAAAGCTGTAATGATGCTTTAACCATCTAGAACAGTTATCAACCATGATGCCATAGAACATTTGTGTGCCATGAAAAGGTTATGGCTGTGCCAAATCAGCAAACCAAAGCAAATGAGAGGAAGTTATCCACAGCCAGAACCCCACCTCTATGATATCACCAGGGTGGATTGACTCCATTTCCCCTCCCAAGTCCCAGGAACTTTGATGTCATGGGACTTCCAGTTTAATGACTCAAATGTCCCACCCATGAAATGTATCCTGTGGCATGAAAAATGTTGAAACCATGATCTAGATATGAAATAAGGTGGGGAAGAGAGTGAATGGGTTGAGAAGAACAAGACTAAGACATTTGTGGTGGGATGGACAGAGGTGAGAAGTTTAAAGAAGGCAACATATGAAGCAGTTTATGGACCCAATGGAAGCATGGATGGTTTGTAAGGAAAAAGGGAAATACAATACATTTTGTTGGCATTGTTGGCATAAATTCTATTTAATTATCTTCACCTTTCACCATTAGCTTTTTTTTGTCTGTATACTGTTGCTTATTCCAACAAATACAGTGTGATAGGCATATATGTATGTTCTACTTTATAATGTTCCATATTGTATCTAGAAACCTTAAAGACGTACTCGTAAGAGAAATATAAGCCAGCAAGATGCAGAGGTTTTTTAAAGATAAAACCTTAATTTATTCTTGTTCTTGTTACCAGATTGAATTTTATAAACCAAAAAACAAGCAGAGAAAAGGCAATTTAACCCAACCCCTTTAATATGCCCATTATACACACTCGTATCAAACTACAAAATGATGCATGCTTCCATTTTTCATTGTAGACACAAAGAAATGTTATTATTCACCTCTTTTTCATCATAATGAAAGGTTCCATAAATCAAAGACAAAGACAATAAATCAATCCTCCTCACCTAAAGAAAAAACCTTTCTCTTTTTAACTGGCCCTACTCTCATTCCATACTATAAATATGCTCCCTCTTTTTCTCCCCCCTCCTATATACATAGGCACACTGTATTTTGTGTATGTTTAAAAGTTTTACTAGAAGCTGTTTTTTAAATTTTCAACTGCAGCTCTCTCTGCCATAGTTGTCATGAAGAATCACAAATATTTAGCAAATTTTTAGCTATATGTGAGATCCAACAAAAGGCTTATGTGTGTAAAACCCTATTATTTGTTGCTAAACCTTTGGTTTTTATTATTGTTATATAGCTAAAGATATTGTGAACTTAACTCCCGGATACCACTGCAAACCCAGACGGAATTCTTGAAAATAATGTCCCATTAAATTTTTTATGTATGTATGTATTCAATTTATATGGCCATCCATCTTAACAAGTGTTTGAGTGGAAACAGAATGAATATAAAATGAAAACAATCAAAAGCATTGAAAAAAATAAAATAAAAATAAATAAAAGCAGGAAGGAAACATTATAACCTAAATTACTAATGCAACTCAGAAGCAGGTTTCTGCAGACTAAGGGGCTTGGGGAATGAATAACTTATACAATTTACATGTGCTGCTGCATTCTGCACCTTGAAGTTTTCAAATGCTCTTCAAGAGCAGCCTTATGTGAAGCACATTGCAGAAATCAAGACAAGAAGTCTCTTTTGCCCTCAGGACTTAACTTTCTACAAGCATTAACCTTGAATCATTATGCTCCTCTTGTTCTTAATGGGAGAATGAGTCCAGATATTAATGAAATTAGATTATTAATAAATGTTCAGAAAAATCCCAAGCAAAGTAATATACAATATCTCAGTGGAATTTTAAAAAATCACAAAATTATTAGAATATAATTTCTTATCATCCAAAGTGAAAATACATGTTATTAAATCAACAGCTATCTATATAAAAGGAATTACATTTTAAGAATACAATTAGGATTTTGCTGCATATTCTTTGAAGATGATATAATTTAACTTCAGCGCTATTCTCTTGACGGTGGGCATAGCAGTCATGCCTGGGAGTGACACTGCCCTGCTCCAATGAGACCGAGTCTGCTGTAAAGTTCTTAAGTCCCGCCTCTTCCTGTGTGGTCCAGTTTTTTGACACGGTCTTCTCTGGGACAGTCGTGTCTGTAGTTTCTCTACTATTTTTAGAGTATTTACTCTGCTTTTTTATTTTATTTTATTTTATTTTTTGTTATTTCTAATTGACTCTAACTGGAGCGAGAAAGGCTTTTGCTCATTCTTGGAACCACAATGGTTAGTCATAACGACGGACGCCAGCCTAGTAGGTTGGGGAGCTCATCTGGAGACACACATGATTCAAGGCAGGTGGTCCCTCCGGAATGCAACCTCAACATCAATCTCCTAGAACTCAGGGCGATCTTCCTCGCTCTTCAGGGATTCCTGGCCCAGATCCAGGGCAGAGATGTCCTAGTCCTCACGGACAACAACACTGCCAAAGCACACATAAACAGGCAGGGAGGGACCCGTTCCCGAGTTCTTCTCCAGGAGTCTCTTTGGCTGGGGCTCTGGGCCAAATCCCACCTAATTTCTCTCAGGGCAGAACACATTTTGGGGGTGTCCAATGTTCAAGCGGACTCCCTCAGCCGCAATCCAATCGACCCGGCAGAGTGGAGCCTACACCCTCATCTATTCCAGGAGCTTTCCAGAAGGTTCGGCCATCCTCAGGTGGACCTGTTCGCCTCAGCAGTCAACCATCAACTACGCCGTTTCTTTTCACGTTTCCCAGCTCTGGGGGCGGAAACAATAGATGCCTTACGCAATCCGTGGCCAAAGGGAATCCTTCTCTACGTTCCCTCTGGTAGCCAAGGTGGTCCGGAAACTCATCAGGGAGGGGGCAGAAATGGTACTGGTGGCCCCCATTGGCCTCGCCATCCTTGGTTCGTGGACCTAGTGTCCCTGTCAGTGGCCCCTCCCTGGAGGATTCCCGACAGTCAAGTGTCTCTACTACAAGGATGACTAGTTCATCCAGATCCACAGTCCTTCCAGCTAGCCGTCTGGAGATGAAGCGGTTCCTCTTGACGGAGGCTCAAGTTCCCCCGGATGTCATCACAACCATTCAGGCCTCTCAACGAGGATCTACGACTCGTATTTACGACACCACATGGACTGCTTTCTCCAAATGGTGCAGGCAGTGCACTAGTTCCCACATCAGCATCAATTGTTCAGATCCTTGGTTTCCTACAAGACGGTTTCTCTTCAGGTCTCTCTCCGAATATTCTACGACGCCAGGTATCAGCGCTTTCATCTATTCTGTCTTACTCATCAGCTGTATCGCTGTCTAAAGATCCTTTGATTCGCAGTTTTTTACGTGGAGCTACAAACCTCAGGCCTCCAGTCATACACAGGTTTCATACTTGGGACCTTACCAAGGTATTGTCAGCACTCACTAGGCACCCTTTAGAACTTCTTCGGGAGGTGGACCTCAAATTTCTGTCTTTCAAAGTCTCTTTCCTGGTGGCCATAACCTCAGCCCGCCAGATTTCAGAATTAGTGGCCCTATCGGTCCATCAAGATCTGTGTATTTTTCATGCGGACAAGGTGGTCCTGCGTCTGGATCCGGCATTTATTCCTAAAATCAACTCTGTCTTTCACAGATCGCAGGAACTTGTTCTTCCCAATTTCTGCCCTTCTCCTCAGCACCGACTAGAACGGACGTGGCACACTCTAGACATTCGCAGAGCCCTTAAGATCTACATTGCCCACACATCTTCTTTCCGTCGCACAGAAGCCCTGTTTGTCGCCTTCCAGCCCTCTTCCATGGGCGCCAAGCTGTCTTCTTCGGCCATTGGACAGTGGATCAGGGCTACCATAGCTATGGCGTATTCAGTCCAGGCCTTGCCAGTTCCCCGGAATATTACGGCACACTCCAAAGGAGCGCGGCCACATCAGCGGCCTGGTCCACCAGGGCCCCCCTGGAGGAAGTTTGCAGAGCGGCC